AGGTATTATGTGAGCATCTCCCCTGGCTGGATCTCGCGCTGCACCATCCATACTTCTTCTGGTTGGTATGGTTTTTCTTTTTGTCCTCTGTGCTGCTGATGATCTCGAAGATGCTCTTCCCCCCATTCGTATGTTCTTTCTTTGTGTGGGCCCTCTCGGTCTCCTCCTTCTCCTGAATGCAGCTTCTTCGCGCCCGCCATGTCGCCGCTCATGTTCCTCTCGCCGTCGCCACCGAGCCCCTTCCTACTACTTGATCTATCTACGTCGAGGTCCAGCTGCCTCTGTCCCCTGACTGTTGCAGGTCTTCTCGGTGCCCTTACACGGTCGGGTCTGCTCTCGCGTCCTCCGCGCGGGTTGCCCACCGCGGCCGCGTCGCCGTTGCCCAGACCGTGAGGCCGAGACATTGTGCCCTGGAGGTCGTCGATGCTGGCGCAGTGCCCATGGCTCCCAGCCTCGTTGCAATCGTACTCTCCAAATGAGTTCTTGCCACAAATGTTTGTCGCCTTCGAATTCTCTGTCGACATCCTTGCATACTCTTGGTGAGCAGCTCGCTGCCGTCGAAGTAGCTGGCGATGTCGAGCTCGGGCACGCCGCCGCTCTGTGTCGCTGCTTTTCACGGTGTCAGTCTGAGCTTGCTCACTCGCGTGCCCCCTATTGGGGGCCGGCGTCTTTCTGTCCTGCCCCCGCGGACCCCCCCCCCCCCCCCCCCCCCCATTGAGGAGGTCGGGGGCGGGCCCTAAAAGCCCACCTCTTGGGCAAGTCCCCGTCGCCTTCCTCGCCGCCGTTTGTCTTCTGCCTTGCAGGTCCTCTTGCCGCACTCTCAGCGCTGTCCACCTGTCCGGGCGGTGCGAGTGCGAAGAACTGAGTCCGCGCCCTTCTCCTTGACTGCTCCTCCTCCTTCTGCCTCTCCTCCGCTTCTGTGTCCGCTGGCTCCGTGTCATCCTCAGCTTCGCTGCTTTCTGTGATCTGGATGCATTCTCCTCTTCCTCCTCTTTCGCCTCTGGGTGCTGTGGGTTCATCGTGACCGTCTTGCTTATCTCCTCCTCCTTGCTTGTGTCGTCTTTCTTGTTGCTGCTCTCTTCCTCTTTTGCATTCTCCAAGTCCCCTTCTCCTTCCTTCTCGTTTGTCACGTGCATCTGGGACAGGGGGGCGGCTCCTATCGTGCATCTGGATTCGTGGTCCGCCTCCTTCATCTTCTAGCCTTCCCTTGCTGCCTCCTCTTCTCTCCTCCTGAGCTCTTCCTCTTCTTCTGCCATTCTTTGTTCCTCTTCTTCCGCCTGTCGGTGCCGTCTCTCCTTCTCTTGTTTTTGCCTCCAGCGCCGCTCGTAGTCGTCTTCTTCACCTATCTCTCGATGCCAATCTCTTGTTCCTTGTGTCTGTGTCGGGGCCCATTCGCTTTGAGGCCTCCATCTTTGTTGTTCCCGGCCCCACCGTGCGCCCTCCTCGTCTGGGTCTGGTCCGTGCATCGGCGTCGCGGGATGGAGCAGCTCATCCGTCTGCTGTTCGTAGTCGTCTGCTGCCTCTTCGTTTTTCTGTTTCGCTTCTTCCATCTCTTGTTCCTCGGCTTGTCTTATCATCTCCTCGTCCTCGAGCTCTCGCTGCCTCTCAATTTCTTCTGTTGGATCGAGCTCTGGGTGTTCTTGTGGTCCGAAGTTGTCCTTCCTTCTCCACTCCTCTTCATATTCATCCCACTTCCTCATCTTCTCCCTCCTCCGGCGTTGCTGCTTCTCCGGCTCTTCCTGTTGTCTTGCCTCCTCTGCTTGTTGCGCGAGCTTCTGTGCCTGAGCATCCCTCTGTAGCTGTTCTTGCGCCGCCCATTGTGATTATTGCCATTTTTGTTGCCTCCACATGTCTTCCTGCAGTTGTCTCTCTTTTTCTTCTTTTTTCTTCATCTGCTCTACTCCACGTTGCACCTTTTTCCTCCATAGCTATGTTGGCAAGTCTGGCGTAGTCGGCTTGCATGTTTTGCTGCCATCTTTGAGCTTGCGCACGCATTTATTCGGCCTCTTGTCTGTGCTGTTCCTGCATTGCCTGCATGTCCCTCCTGCGTGCGTCTTCGCCCTGTCTCAGCCTGTTTTCCATCTCCTCCTTCTCCTGTCTTCTCTCTTCTTGCGTCTTTTCATGTGGGCGCATGCCTGCATCGTTGTGTCCTGCATCTGTTTGTGCTTCCCTTGCTGCTGCTGTTCCAGTATTTGCCTTAGCGCCATGACCTTTTGCGCATGTTCGTTGTGTTGCTCCTGTCCCGCTGCTTCCGCAGTCATGGCCCTTTTTTTGTCGCTTCCTGGACCTTGCCCGCCATATCCTTGTTCATCTCGACCAACTGCTTGATATGCCTCTGCATATCCTCTTTTCTTTTCTGTATTCCTCCACCTTGGTCGCTCTCATTCGTTCTTCTCTTTTTTCGTCTCTTCTTCTTTGTATGTCCTCCTTGATAGCTGTGATTCTTTCTTCTTCTTCTATCATCCTCCGATCTTCCTCCTTCCGGCGCTTCTTCTTCTTGTCCTTTTCTTGTTTCACCGTTCTCGCGTTGTTCTCCTCTGCTTCTTCTTTTCTCGTTCTCTTGTGTTCCTCAACTTCCTCTTTTCTCCTCCTCTCCTGTTCTTCCGTGTTTTTGTCGTCTTTGTCCGTGCTGCCGTGCTCGGAGCTGGATACGTCCGCCATCTCTAGCTCGTCCTCGTTGGCGATAGCCTCTTGCTCCACGAGGTCTTTAATCGCCAGCTTCAGCTCCCTCTCCGTTTTCTGCATATCTTCCTCTGTCTGTCTGTGCGGCTTTCTCAAGGACGCCAGCTTCCCTTGGAATCGGTCACGGTTTGCACGGAGCATGCAGTTTCTTTTTGGCAGGTTGTGTCATCACCATCATGTGCTTCAGGGCCGCCATATCCTCTGTCTCCTGCAGGGCGTCCTGCTGGTCCTGGCGCTTCGCAACTATGATCCCCGCCAAAAATCTCATCTCCTTCTCCGTCTTGTGTTTGAAGGCTCGCAGCATTTCGTGGTCCGTCGGAGGGTCCTCGTATCGTTTACTAGTTCTCACCATTCGGTCCGTCGATGGTGCCGTGGCCTTGATCACGTCTTGAATGGCCCTGTCCTGGTTCTTTTTTTTGTTCCACTTGGTGGTGTCGCCGTCGATCTCCTTCCAGCTTCGTACTTTGCCTTTCCATGGCTGCCCACATTTGCACCACCATTGGGTATCTGAGTTCCATGCTCCACACCTGCTGTTCGTGCACTTCCACCCATGCCACGGCGCTTTCGGCATTGTGTCCTGGTTGATCTGGTGTTGCTGGTCCCCGTTGTGCTGCTGGTTGCGCTGGTGCTGTTGCGCCGAGTGGTGCTCCAAGAGAAGCTCCTTCGCTGCGGCCAGTCGGAGCAGAAGTCGGGCTTCGCCACGTTTGTCCCTCAGGCGGCGGTGCCACGCTGGCTGTGGTGCGGCTGCCCAGCCGCGCGGCGTGCTGCCGAGGGAGCCGCTGCCGCTTGAGCCAAAATGGCTTGAGCCAAAATGGCTACGGACTCCTCCTCCTCCTCCTCCTCCTCCTCCTCCATCTCCTCCTCCTGATGTATCTCCTCCTCCTCCTCCTCCTCCTCCTCCTCCTCCTTATCCCCCAAAGTTGCTCAAGATGCCTCCCTGATTGCCCAATGTGGCCGCTAAGGCGCCAAACGGACCGCCAGGCCAACGGAATTCGACACTACGCACCCTGCGCTGTGATTCTCTCCCGCCGAAGCCTTCGCGCTGGCTTCAGGATCTTCCCCAGCATGGCCCAAGATGGACCCCAGAGGTCCACAAGAGCGCCCCAAGGGAATTCCCACTAGAGTTAGGTCGGGCGTGTCCCCCTACAGGCGGATTCTGGACGAAACGTACAAAATACCCACACAAATGTGACGAACGTATTCAAAACATCGTCCCCATACAATTGTTTCGACTATGTTTGACTACTCCTCCTGTAAAGGGACAACTCGATTGAACACCAGAGGAATGAGCACCAGTAACACCAATGCTCGGAGGCCCGCGCGGATCTCACAGATCGGCGCTGGGCTCCCCCCCCCAAGAGCTCCGAAAGTTCATGTGCATGCAGTTGTGTTGTGACTCGGTCAACCTTTCTGCGCCAACTCGTGGGGCCTCCTCCTCCTGCGAATCGGCGCTCATCGACGCTAGATCGACGCCAATCGATGCCACGTCTGCGCTTCCCCCTCGACTCCCAGACGCCAGAGCACGCGAAAGACACTCCGAGGACGTACAAGGCTCCCGCGAGTTGCTACCGAACAACCTCGAATCTCTCGCCCGCGGGGCCCGCCACGCCCGCCATGGCGGCGCGTGCTCCCTGTTGGGCGGCAACGATAAGGAGGGGGACTGGTTCGGGGGGAAACATCGACCAAGAATCAACGAAACATCGCCGGTGAATCGGTGATGGGCTTTTGATGTTCTAACCTGTTTGAGCCTTGATGACCAGACAGAATTTCGAACACCAAGAACATATCGAAACCAGAGGGCTTTCGCGAGTCGGGCTCTGGGAGGCGATGCGCGTTCGACACTGTTCGACATTTTGCTGGGTGCTCGAAATTCCTTCTGTGCTGTGGCCCTTGATGAAGGGGCCCTGGGACACACAAATAAATAGACACCCATATTTTCCTATATTTTCTGGGTTATCGTCTTCCCCCCCACTTCCCATACTTTCCCATATTTCTGGGGAATCGACGATTAATTGTGTCTGTGTGTTTTTTTCCTCCTGAACATCCGCACGTTCCTGGGCGGGGGCGGACCATCGAGCCCCAATCGATGATCAATGGGCAACCGGGGGTCGATGCGTCCCGGGGGCAGCCAGCACGTGGGGGGTGACACATCGAGCTGGAATCGGCGATGCATCGCCGATGGAGATCGGCGATGCGCCCCCGATGGCGAAGCCGCACGGTCATGGGCGGGGCAGCCCCCATCACCGATCAATGGGCGACGTGGGGTCGGTGCATCCCCCCTGAGCCGCTCCCCCGCCCCTTCAAGTCCGCGGCGGCGCCTTTCAGCTTCTCCCGGTCGCCCAGCACCGAGTCGTAGGAGCCGTGCACCACGGACTCGAGCGGCCGCGGGCGCAAAGGGGAGGGGCACGTCGGAGAAGCCGCGCGGATGTCGCCGTCGTTGTCGTTGCCGTCGACATCGTCGTTCTCCTCCTCCTCCTCCTCATCCTCCTCCTCCTCCTCCTCCTCCGCCTCCTCCTCCTCCGCCTCCCTCCACCCCTCCTCCTCCTCCTCCGCCTCCCCCTCCCTCCTGTTTTCCCTCCCTTCCTATCCCCTCCCCCTTCCCTCCGTCCTTCCTCCTCCTCCTCTCTCTCCTCTTTTTCTCCTTCTTCTCCTGCATCATCTTATCCTCCTCCTCTCTCCTCCCTCCTCCTCCTCCTCCTCCTCCTACTCCTCCTCGGCATCCTCCTCCTCGGCATCCTCCTCCTGCTCCCCCCTGTCCCCCTCCCTGGTGCAGACAGTCAGGAGCTTCTGCTTAGCGTGTCTCGGCGGTGGCCTCGGCGACACGCTGTTCCCTGCGCCGGGAGGCGCCCATGTATCGAGAACTGGCCCAGGCGGCGGGGCGGAGACCAGCTGCTTGCAGCAAATTTAATACCCCCTCCCCCTTTCCCCATCCTGCCCCTTCGTCCGGCCCGACGAGGATCAATTCGGGTGAGGATGAATCGAAAAACTCTGAGATCAGGCGGCTCTGGAAGATGCATCGGGCGCCGCGGCCTTCCCAGAGCACTCCGGACCGCTCTGAGGCTTTCTGGAACGTTCTGGAACGTACTTACAGTGGAGGCCCGACCACAAGAAACCTTCCACAAAAAACCCAACCCTGAGACCCCAGGACGTCCATGACTTCTCGTGTGGGAACGTCACGCCTTCCACAGCAAAACCATCGAAACCCAAGAAACACAAGGCACCCTGGAGGAAACCAGGGTGCTTCTTGGCATGGGTCTCCACTGTAGCGATCCATGGATCCGGCGCGCGGTCGCCGAATCCATGGATCGGGGGATGTGCTCTCCCCAAAAATGCGGCCGGTGCCGCCTCGCTCGGCAGCGGAAATCCGCGATTTCCTATGGAAACGGGACCCGTCGCTAATCCACGCCCCCTTGATGCATGTGTGCGATCGCCTGAAAATGCAGATCCACCGCCCAGGAACCGACGTCCTGGTGCCCGAGGGGGCGGCGGATATGGATACATCTCGGCCCCCGGGGGCCCGAAAATATCCAGATCCACAGCCTGTGGAGGTCCGCGAAGATCGATGCCCCAGGCGGTGGGTGTGGATACATCCACGCCTCGAAGACGCTGCAGATCTCCCTGGAGATCTCTGTGCATGCCTCGGTGTATCCCGATTTGCTCCGGCACAGCTGGCTTTACCTCGGCCTGCCTGGTCTGATCCCCGCCAGCCGCTTGGAGAAGAGTCGCCGCGCCCCAGGGACCATGCGCCGAACCAGAGCCCTGGCTGGCCCTGGCCAGGCACGGTGGTGGTGGTGAGCAGGTGCCGTCTGCGGACTGGATCGCTGGCTGAAGAGACGAGGAGGGTCTCAGACCCCCCTGGGGATCACCGGGGGTATTCGTGTCGTGGATGCCACGACAATGGACCCCCTAACAGTCCTATCATTGAATCTTAAATGTGTTTCAGATGTCGGACCAATGTTCTAAACATGTTTAAACATGTTTAGACATGTTTTACATGCTTAAAACATGTTAAACACATGTTAGAGACATCTGGAAATCATCTGGCAACATGCTTCCTCTCCATTGATCGTGCTCCACAATTTTAGTGGTCAGGGGGTCATACAGGCCTCGGATAAAATAGCGAACGCGCATGCCGCATGCATCGGTCAACGCATCCCCCTCCCCCACATGCTCAAGATTGGCGGCGGGTCTGATGAGTTGCACTTCGGCCGCAGCCTGCCCCGCGCGTGCCAACTTTGAGTTTGGGGGAGCGGGGGAATGTCCACTAATTTCTTTCCCCCTACCGCTAGTGTGTGCCAATACGATGCGATGCGATACGACCACCGCTGCGGACGCCGTCCGGGCCTAGCCAAGACCAGGTGGGCGAGGCCATGGCCTGGGTGGCCGTGGTGGCGCCGAAGGTGGCGCATGGATGGCCAGGCAGCGCGTGGATGGCCTGACAGAGCTCAAGAGCGGCCCGCTGCCAGAACCGATGCTGGGCCACCTCAGAACCCCCAACTCGCGCCACCAAGCGCGCCAGTCGACCGTCCACCACTTGAAGCATCGCGGTGGCCGCTAAGGGGATAAGGGGGGTTGTAAGAGGATGCCAAGCAGGCTTCTGGACGGCCTGACATTGCTCATAAGTGGATTAAAGGTGCCCCAAGTGGCTCGGGGGGTCAAGGCTCAATGACTTATGGGCCCCGCCGACTCTGCAAACTTGTCGACGCCTCCCAGGCAACTTAGGGTGCTTGTAACCCACTTACACGCTATAGCAGGAGCTCGACCACAGGAAACCTGCCACAAGAAACCCAACCCTGAGACCCCAGGACGCCCATTGATTTCTGGTGTTGGGACGTCACGCTTTCTATAGCGAAACCATCGAAACCCAAGACTCCCAAGGCACCCTGCAGGCAAGCAAGGTGTTTCTTGGCATGGGCTCCCACTGTACGGGGGGTGCAACGTGCGATGGCACGAGCAAGCTGCAAACAGCACAAACGGCACTCGCTGCAGGGCGAGAAACTCTCTGCAGCCTTACTCCACGGTGACAGATAAACACCCAGAATCCGCCGACCCCTTGGGGTTCATCGGCGTGTCTTCCCCCATCCCCAAACCCCTTCCCCAGAACCTGGTCCGGTCGAGTTGGAAGGGGGGGGTCCAGGCCAGCTGGGGGGGTACTTTGCTCCAGAAATTCTGCCGGGGAGCATCGAGGGCCTCAAAACGGGCCACGAGGGCCCCAAGAGACCTCCAAGACGGTCCAAGAGGGCCCGGACTTAGTGGGCCCTGGAAACGATAGGGCCGTTTTTTTACCGGTTCCGTTTTGCCGTTTTTTGGCATGTTCCGATCTTTCACCGGTTCCGTCGCCGTTTTTTGACCGGTTCGGGCTCCGGCTCCAATCCTGGAGCCGTTTTTTTGCCGTTTCTGGTCGCCGTTTTTTTGCCGCTTCCATTTCTAAGGGACATTTTTGTGGAAACGGCGAAAAAACAGCCCTGCCGTTTCCGGGGCCCACAATGAGCCCCGAGTCGCCGAAACATCGTCCCAAGACGCCCAAGATGGCCACCAGACGACCCAAGATGCCTCCAAGACGCCCTAAGAGGCTTCGAAGAGGCCTTCCAAGAGGGCCCCAAGAGGCCAAAATTATTGATTGTCATATGTTTGTTGTCCAAAATTTGTGGCTTTCTCGCCTTTTCTGACAAGACGGTCCAAGAGGCCCCCGAGAGGGCTCCAAGACGGCCCAAGAGGGCTCCAAGACGGCCCAAAAGGCCCTCAAGACAGCCCAGGAGGGGCCCAAGAAAGGGACCACGAACTGAAAATTCTAGCTTTCCGCTCCGTGGGGCCCCCGGGAGGACCTGAGAGGTCCCCAAGGGGCCCCAAGAGCCCCCAAGAGACACCCAAGAGGCCCAAAAGAGGTCCCAAGAGGCCCCAAAACAGCCTCCCAGAGGGCTCTAAACTGCCTCGGGCAGGCCCCCGAGAGGCTCCTCACGAGATCCCAACGAACATCCAAGAGGCCTCTAAACCACAACCCAGGCACGGTAGCGGGATCGGCCGAGGGCCACTAGAGATCCGCCGCCCCCTGTCGATTCATCGCAGGGGTGCCTGGCGTGCTGGATCCTTTCGGTTTTGGTTTTGGCTCTTTTTCCCAAAAAGAACTCCCCCTGGCGCTTCGACCCGTCCCGCCGGGGTCCCGGGAGGCTCTTCCAGGACCCCAACGTCCACAAAAAATCATCCAAGACGGCTCAAGATGGCGTCCAGGATGGCCACGTTGGCCCAAGATGGCCTCCAAGATGGTTCAAGATGGCCTCCAAGTCCGCCCAAAATTGTCCAAGACGGCCTCCAAGACGGCCCAAGAGAGTCCAAGACGGCCCAAGAGGCCCCCCGGAGGCCTCCAAGATGGCCCAAGAGGCCTCCAAGAGGCCTCCAGGAGGGCCCGAAGAGGCCAAAATCATTGATTGTCCTTAAATTTTTGAAGGATTTGGGGATTTGCTTCTTCTCGGCATTCCAACGGCTCCTGACGGCCCAAGAGGCCCCCAAGATCGCCCAAGAGGCCCCCAAGAGGACCCTATGACAGCCCAAATGGCCTTCAAGACTGCCCCAAGAGGGCCCAAGAGGCCTCCAACACGCCCAAGATGGCCTCCAAGACGCCCAAGATGGCCTCCAAGACGGCCCCGAAGCGCCCCAAGAGGGCCCCAAGTCGGCCCAGAAAGGCCCCCAAGACGGCTCCCGACGGCATCAGACGTGCCAGGAACCCACCAAGATGGCTGAAGTTGGCTCAAAGCTGGCCCAAGACTGCCCAAGAGGCCCCCAAGAAGGCCTCCAGAAGGCCAGAAGAGGCCCAAAACATGGATTTCCCAAAGGTATTTGACTGATTTTGACATTTGCTTCTTTTCGGCCTTCCGACGGCCCGAGACGGCCCACGAGCCCCCAAAGATCGCCAAAAGATCGCCCAAGAGGACTCCAAGATGGCCCCAGAACGGCCCAAGAGGGCTCCAAGACGGCCCCAAGAGGCCCCCAAGACGGCACAGGAGGTCTTTACGACGCCCAATATTGCCTCCAAGACATTCCAAGAAGGCCCCAAGTCGGCCCATAGAGGCCCCCCAAACGGATTCCGACGGCGTCAGACGGACAAGGAGCCCACCAATACGGCAGAATATGGCCCTAAGATGGCCCAAGACGGCCCAAGAGGCCTCCAAGAGGGCCTCCAGGAAGGCCCGAAAAGGCCCAAATCATTGATTTGCCATGCTTTTGTTTGAAGGATTGTGGCATTTGCTTTTTTCTGCCTTCCGACGGCCCGAGACGGCCCAAGTGCCCACAAAGATCGCCCAAGAGGCCCAAGACACGGCCCCAAGAGGCCCCCAAGACGGCTCAAGAGGTCTCCAAGACGCTCAAGATAGCCTCCA